GGCAACCTCTCTGTGTTTGGCTGACATTGTTTCTGATATCATCCTTTATTTTGCATGTGTATTTAATTCATTTTCAAGTTGTTTTCATTAAAATGGAGCTACTTGAGACAAAATAAATGCCAGTGTCCAGTTTCAGTGTTTTCAAAGTGGTCTGGCTGCACTGTTGACAATTATTTTCTCTCTGATAAAATTAGCTCTGGATTCCCATTTGTTGGCTGAAATGACCTTGTGAATCCTGTCCTTTGCAGTGTGTATCTAATCTGGACTAGGACCTTGGGACTTCCTAAGGCACATTGACTACCTGTAATGTCAACACTGTCCTCAGATTACATTCTTCTGGTGCCTTTTATTTTCACGCTTGTGTTTCTTTACTACACCCAAGAGAAACAGAGGTCACCTAATTATGAAGGGATTTATCTTTACTCCAAGGAGGAACATGAAACAAATGTATCTACATCTTTCCTATGTCCATTTTACTGATAAAGTAGTTTTATGCTGTTCTTTTCATTTTTTCTTCAGATTCTAGATTTGCCTTTTTTCATTAAATTCATGATTCTGAATATTTTCAAATATTTACATATGCTTAGCTCACCTTACCAATACTAACCTGTTTTTGTGATTCTTCTTCTTGACCAAGTTGCATATATGCTTCACCATGATTTCTGTATAATGAAGGAAATCTTGATCTGACAGTTTTTTACAACATACACACTCACACACATTCATTTATGTGTATGTGTGCAGATATATATAATTACCAAAAATAATTAAATATTTTCCTATAAATTATGAGTGGCATTTTCAGAAGTGCAATTTTTGAAATATTTTGCTTTTCAGTGTCTACAAATATGTATCAAGTTCTATTCAACAATGCCAGTTTGTACAGGAATTTGAAAAGCCCTGGAACAAACACTCCTGTTCGTATCTCTTGTGCTCATTCCTAAGATTTTCCTACCTGATTGTGCAGGAATGGAGCTACAGGGGTGGGCTACCTGCATGTTCACCTTTAGTACATACTGCTAACTGTTCCTTCATGGTGACTGTGTCATTGTTCACTTCCAGTCCCAAATGATAGTGTCCGTTTCCTCGTGCCTTTCCCAGTTATTGATTATATCAAGCAGTAGCTTTATGTTTTAATAAATATTGTCTGTTTAACTGCATGAGATTGATATCCTTGGTGATTTACTTTTTGTTTCACTGATAGTGACTTGTGTGGTATTCTTCTGTACAATTTCTAGAAACCTGGCTTTCCTTTCTATAAATACTCAATATTTCTTTGATTGCTGACATTCTTAAAATAATCTATACTTTAAACTTTGTTCTTTGAATTGAAAATAGATTCTCAAAGCTGATGACATGGTTTTTATCTTTATTTGTAAACTTAGGTTTGAATACATAATTTTAATTTTCAAGATTTTTTAAAAGGAAGCATTTTTTATCTCCAAAATATTATTCTGTATTATCATATACAGAATGTATTTGTCCACAAATTATTAAGTATTTGTCCACAGTTCTGAAAAATTATGTTACTTCATGATTTTTAAAAACACTTTTAAAGTTTTTTGGTGTACCATAAGTCATTTTTAAAATATTTTCAATTATTTGTTCACTTCTTAGACTTTGTTCTGGTAAATAAATATTTGGATTAACTATGTATGGCCCAAAAGGCACCCTTTAGGTGACACACACACATACAATCTTTGTGTTTGAATTTGTTATATATCTGATATATGAAATATATATGAAATATATTTTCATTATGCTTTTTACTCCTTCCACTAATTTTAAAAGCTTTAGATATAGGCCCGAGATACAGCTCAGTAGCCTCACACCTGCCTGGTAGGTTTATTGTCCTGAATTTAATTTCGAGGACAAAAAATAAATAAGCTTTAGCTATTGTATTAATCTTTCCCGTATCATCCTGTTATTTATAATTACTAACAAACAACATTTCTTTCTCATTTTGCTGTTGACTTTCTCTGATACTGTTTTTGGTTTTTTGTTTTTTTTTTTCATTTTTCCTTTTCCTTACTTTGGGAGTTTGGTGTGTGGGCTACAAAAGGATCTTGTGCAGTCAATTTTATTTGCTCTCTTGAGGTTCTATTGGTCCACAAAAGCTCTGTTAAGTTTTACATGCTTATTTTGGGTTTATAATGCAGAGCCTTGTGACTCTGGACCTCCTGGGCAATGCATGAATCCTAAGCTTGTCAGTTGCTTTGCAAAGGGACGCTCCTTTTCATCTAGAGCTCCTAGTGGTCCCTGGATTTGTGCAGCTTTTTAAAACTGGAAATCAGACTGTATTACTGAAGCCTATTTTGTAGAAAGGGGTACATTTTCTGTTTACCAGTTGCTTTCCAAAAGCTCATTGCTTTTTTTTTTTTTACTCCAAGTAGCAAGAACAGAATTTGTTTAACAATTTTAATAATGTAAACCTCACCAAACCCATTCATAGTTCATCCTTGGTGATTCCTTGAACCATAACCTCTCACGCCTTTGACTTATTTGCTAGTCCCTTACAGACCTTTGTAAATGGATCCAGCAGAAGAGATGAGTTATGACATCTCTACAAACGATGTATGGCTTATAATTTAGAACAAATTTCCTTCAATTTTTTTTCTAGAAACATGCTTAATTAATACTTTTTACAGGTTACATAGTTTTATAGTTTTAGTTTTTCCATTACAAAATAACTTCAGGGTACTAGTTATGCTACTTTAGAAAGAAAAATAATTGCTTGACTTTCATTATTAAGTAATATCTATTTTTCTAATTAAGGTAATAATATGATTATCTTTTGATGCCTTAAGCAAATTATAAAAGCACTCTTCCATTGTGTGGCCTGTACATTTCCTGTTACCTTAGCTACAGGTACTCTCTTATAATGAGCTACACTCCTGAGAAAGTTGTTTTATTAAAATATTTTCCTATTATATAAATGGTCAAGAACCATAACATGGTCTAAGTTTGGCTGAAAAATGGCATCCTAAAAACATTTATATCATGATTGATAGAACCTATGAATATTAATTCACATAGAAGATATATTTTGAATATTGTATTCTATTAAATCCATGATGTGGCTTATTTAAAAAAATGTTATGGTCAGTACCCCTGGTGTCAAACAAATGAGCAAGCAAAAAAAAAAAAAAAAAAAATATATATATATATATATATATATATATATATATAATGAGAGTAGAGATTTACCAGTACTAAGTAATTTTACCTAGTTATATTATAGGTACACGTTTGTACACGTTTATAATTATGGAAACAACTATAACCATAAATACATATATTAAAGTAAATATATATATATATCAATCCATTTAGAGATGTAGAAGCAATACCCTCCCAGTGGCAAGGAGCAAAACTATTGGCCAATTCTTTGTTTTTTACTAAGATTCATATTAGTTCATGGAAAAGAATAGATAATACTTATACAGTTTGATCAATATTGCATGTCTATATTTGGCAATGTAAGCAGCTCTTTTGAAGATAACATTATGTGATATAACAACCATCCTTAAATTCCTATCACCTTGTTTTGAAAGCCCATATTGTTATTGGTTTGTATTTTTTGTTGTTTTTTTTTTTGTTGTTTGTTTGTGTTTTTTGTTTTCATTTTTATTTTCTGTGTTTATTTCTCTTTAAAAAACAAATAAATCAACCAAGGATCCTTGTACAAAAGACTGACTTTAATTTCAAAGCAAAAAAAGGTTTGTAAGATTTGTACTATACAATATGAAATTAAATGGACTAATTTGTAGTGCCAGCCCATGTAATGAACACACCAGTCTGGTATTTACAAAAAAAAAAAAAAAAAAAAAATACTGAAACCAACTTAAAGAGTCCTCAAAGGTTAAAGATGAAGTAATTTTAGCAAGAAAAACAATGAAACACTGTGGTATTGTATTATAGAACAAAATGATTCCAACTGATATATATGCCTGTATATATTTATATATGATTGAGATATACATATATATGATATATATATTCATACATATATATGAGTAAATACAGCAAGCCTAAAAGGGAGGTGGGAGAACAGAAATTTCATAATGACTCCAGTTTATTCATGTAATGTTACTTCTTCTAGAAATTAGCCCCCCCTTTTCATTTACTACCTTCTCTTATAAACTTTTTAACAGTGTGAAAAGGGTGAACACAAGTAACTTTACAGTGCACAATGTTGCAAATATTATTCCAGTCAGCTGTTAGCAGTTAGCATCTAAATTAATCATAGTGACCTGCACAGCTGATAGCTAGGAAATTAGGGAGACGAAACTTAACATTTTACACATTCTGCCCAGAAACCTATATCCTCGTCCAGTCATGAGACATGCGCGAGAAAACTACAATTCAAGGATAATCTCTGTATGTGTGGCCACTATTTTTCAAAATTACCATGGTCATTACGGGAAAATGAAAGTCTGGAAACTGTCAGTAGGAGGCCAATAAGACATAAAGACTAAAGGCAATGTAGTATGTTGAGTATTAGAAGAAAAATATTGAAATGATTTAGCAATACTTGTTCTCTTGAGTCCAATTACTACCATATATTGAACATTGTGACCAGGACATCATTATAGAGCAAGACAGTAATAGTAGATTAAGTTGGGTGAGGGATATAAAAGTTGGGTGTGGGAACCTTCTATATGGTCTGGAAAATTTTTAAGTGGAATAGTAAGTTGGTACTCTTGGTTAAGAGGTTTCAGTAAGTGAGCTGAGTGCCCAAACCAGTAAGTACCAAACAGGTTGCTTTAGGTGCAATTAGTCGAATCATGCACAATTTGCACTACATACAATTTTGCATATCTCACAACAATCAAACGATAAGTATTGGGTCAAAGTTTTAGCTCGGCTAAAATGCAGTAAGTGTAAATTCAACACACTGAAAGCAGCTGAACACCAAGTCATGACTGTAAAGGCAGTGTATTCACAGGTAATATATACTAACATAGTTAAATTCCGGTTTCATGTGCTTGTCATTCTAGCTTTGTTTCCTGACCACGTGGCTCAACTGGGGAATACAGTCGAACTGGAACTCACTAGGAGTTTGGTCATTTAAAGCATGCTAACCTTTTTAAAGGTAAGTGACAAATCTCACCAGGATTTATGCCTTTAAGCTCTTATTAAGTTGTTGAAAGTTGAACATACATTTAAATTTTAAAAATGTATTTCATTACTAAACAGAATATTAAACTTTTTGTGTATTTCCAGATGGTTGACATAATTAGTGCACAATCATGAAACTTAAGTAATCATTTCCTTTAGCAAGGCCCTATGTGTGCCTTACTGTGTTATTGTACATTTCTCATACTCCTTCAATTTATATGCAGATGAAGAACTAGCAGTTATATGCCTCCTAAAAAAGACTTTTGTTCTTTTATATTCTAGTTTTATTGCACTTTGCTTTCTCTCTCATAATTAGTGGATATTACTTTTGTTATTGGATGTGTCTCGTTTCAAAGGCATATATCAGTTGAAACTTTCACATAGGAAACAAAGTCAACAATGTTTTTGCTTTCTTAATATGGTCCAATCTTGTTCATTTGTTTCGTTTGCTGGCGATTGTAAACTGCTTTCCCTTTGTGACTGGCAGGTTTCTAACCCTTGGTATTTAAATGCTTACATTTAACCTTCATGGACACATTAATTAAAAGGTGCTCTGACATGCTCCATTTCGTAATGCTAGAGTCTATTCTTGGGCCATAGTCAAAACAACCTTGGTATTCTGACTTCTTAATCAGTTATCAATTAAACCTAACCATTAATATTGTAGTTCCAAAGCAAAAGGTTAAAGACATAAGGCAGGCATGTAATTAAACTAATATGGCTGGATGGCTCATACTGTGATATTTGTTCAAACTCTGTGCCTGCTCATATTTAATAAGCACAAAACTACTTTCTGTTTTAATACTTATGAGATTAATTCATTTAAAACATGGGAGACAGTGACCCAGTTTTATCATATTTTCATCAACTAAGTCCCAGCTTTGAATAAAACTACACAAAATTTAGAAAAAAATTTCAATATTAAAACTTAAAAATATTTTTATTTCAAATATTCATAAAATCTATTCACTTTGATCATCATTCACTTTGATCATTAATTTGTTGTCATCAATAACCAAATTTTGGGAAAAAATACCTTGTTTTGCATTGCAAAGGCTTTGACTTGTAAAAATTAGAATTAATAAAACTCATATCTTCAATCATATTGATATGATGGTTTTATTCCAGATCTAGCACACAAACATGCAAGTATATATAAAAGACGAACACATCTAATTATATTTATTCTAATTAGTAACTTCCTGTCATATAATGCCCATGATGGCCTCGACCTACATGTAATGTGTCATATGAGTAATTCATTACTGATGATCTAACCCAGTGCTTCATACATGCTGGGCATGTACTTTAGCCCTGAATTACAGTTTGCTCTGATTCTAATTATTAATGCACATTTTTCTTTAAAGTTTAATAAAGCACAATGATGTCTAAAGTCCAAAGTGGAAAAAAAAAAAGACAAAATTTCCCAAATGCACTTTGGTTCACTTTGTGCTTTAATTGAAGTTTAAAAATTAAAAAGAGATTTATAGTACTTTAAATTGAAAATTTTAAAATAGCCTTAAATAGGAAACATGTAAAGAAATCAGAATTTCCATTTCTTATCAGGGTGCATATAAATGCAGAAGACACAATGAGAAGGGGTTGAAATTGCTTTCCTATTAATGTGAAAGTTTTCATATACATCATGTATATAAGTAGGCTGTAAAGAAATACTGCCAGATTACTACAATGAAAGGAAATGACATCTAAAAATATCAAACATAAAGTGTCAAGTTAAATCATTTTAATTATTCTTTATTAAAGAACACGTTTTCTTGCATTACAGTAATGGCTTGGCTTACGAATGATTTGTTTAAAAATAATTTGGTTCTCAAATGCATTCCACAGAATTGCTGCTTTGCTCACAATCTCCACATAGCCTCCTAGACTACAAACACAGCTGTTGCTGTCTCCACCACACAAACACAAAGGAGGCCCCCTTTCCTAAAATCGTAAAGCAAATTCAATTTGTAGACTGAGGCACAGCTTTAACTTAATTTTAAATACAGCGGTTTTGAGGATCCATTTATGACCCCACCAACTCCTTTCTGGAATTATTTCTTGAACAATAAAGAAGGGTGACTTATTTGTTCTGCAGAATTTTGCAAAACTTATTGCTAGTTGTACTCTTCAACTATACTCATGCTTGTTTTACATGTAACTATATTAATTTATTGCTTAGACTGAAAACCAAAATAAATTAGATGTCTTCCATGTGGTGCAACTGCATGTCTTGATCAATATGTAGCAGGTGTTTTAGGTCCAGAATAAAAATGAGCTTGAGGTTGACTTTCCTTCTTACCTGCTATGCTAGCTGAGGATAGGAAGACGTGGATAAGAGACATCTGACCTGGATACTTTGAGAAGTGGTGCTAAATATGTAACAAAACCATGTATAGTTTTAAAAGAGACATGTAGGCCTGTAATGTTATTGTGTTTTGGTGAATTTTTGGTCATTTAGAGAGTGAAGGAATGAACTAAGTATAAATTATGAGAATATTTGGCTGGTAAATCCAGAAGAGTAAGAGTAGGTGATGAAGATGCTTGAATGGAATTTAAGACCATATTTCAGCTCATGGCTTTATGCTCTACATGATGGGGAACTGCATTATGTTTTTGTTGTATTTCAGTGTAGATAAGTAACCTGAAGCTACACCTGCATGTGTGTTGGTGTATCTCTGTGTGTATGTAAGGCCATGATCATGGCAGTGCAGTGGATTATCAGTGGAACCTTATCTGTTTGAAGCAAAATTTTAGTTTTATTTCTATCTTGTACAATCTTTTTAAGAAAATCACTTATATTTAGTACACATTTAAAGTGTTTATGTAGCTAGAGATACAGGTATGTTAGGGTTATAAGTAAATAGAATTCTTCAAGATTCCACCAATATTTCATCTATTTTTCTGAAGGTGAGGAGGAAAGCAGGATTGAGAAAAGGAAAGTTTTGGAAATGAGCTATTGCCTGACAGATACAGGAGCCAAGAGGCAGAGGAATTATTTTTAAAAAATAATTCTTTCGGGCACTGTATGAGTAGCAGGTCCCGACCCCTGGGGAAACACCAGCTCCCCACAGTGATGAGGTGAAACAGAAACTGATGGAAACACAGGGGGAGAGCAGAGCCTGGCAGCCAGGAATAGGCTTGAGCATTTCTGGTTTTACCGCTCACAGCGTCCTGCTGAGTTGACAATAGGTTCAAAATTGAATCTCAAAGCCATCTTTTGTTTTGATGTAGTTTGTAAAGCCTAAGTAGAAATCAGATTCTATTTTTTTTTTTTTGTTGTTTCCTCTGGTTGGATATTCCTTGAGTTGTGATTAGCACAATTCAGTAAATAAGAATAAAATAAATGCAGGGGTACTTCTAATTATAGCACTTGTCAAAGGTTAATAACTTGGGACATGCCTATTAGGATTTCACAATGACTTGTCATTTGGGATTATGATTGATTACCCAGAGAGAGTAATAGGAACAGAAAAGAAGAGAAAATGTAGAATCAGTGACTTTTTTGTCTTAAATTCTAGCAAATATTTTTTTCAAAATAAAGAGATCATTCTACATCATCCATGATGTCCACAAACCTCCAAGATTATTAAAATATATTTACTATGAGCTATATAATATGCACAAATTAAGATACTCCCCTATTTTTATTTTTTTTATATTTGATTGTGTATTTCTTTGGTCAGTTTTTTAGTTTAAATTGTCAAAGAACACAAGATATAATTAAAATCTTCCACATTCAGAGTCTAAGGGTCTGTTCCACGTTTTATTCCATTGAACATATTTTCAATTAATTGTAAAGGTCGTTCTCCTTCTGTAAGTTTACAGTTTATCCCTTAAAGATGAAAGCCATGTGGATAAATTTACCTTTTGTTTTTTCCCTTTGTCTTTAAAGTTATCCTGTGGCTGTATCATGCTGCTTTGATATTATGTCTCAGTTCACAATTGAGGTCATTGTGCTGTCATTCCGGTTAGCTTAAAATTGTCTTAGTCCATAAACAAGTACATAGATGGGTTTTGTTCTAATAAAAAAGAAAGTACTGTGAAGAGATGAAGAGAATGCTCTGTTAGGTCCATGGGACAAAATCCATAATTTACTCTTGCAGATGTCTGTGTAATTTAAACAGCAGGCAAAACAACCACACACAGTTGTAGCTGCTCTAGGGAACAGATACCGGGAGGCTCATAAATCACAGTAAGGATTAGAAGCAATGAGCATTCATCTTCTTAACCTCGTAAGGCGATATGGGGAAGCCAAGTATCAGAACATAAGGAGCAAAGAATCTTTGTGCAGGGATAAAAGGGGTCAGAGATTTTTAAGCCTTCTCTCAATTAGCACTGACCTTCCATTTGCAAATCAGCCGAACATACCTTTAAGGTTGATTAAAAAGAGACCTCTTCCACAAGAAATTAAATTGAATAAGTGATAAGATGTACTTCTGGGCACTGATGAATGAACTCAAATCATATGGAAATCCTAATCATTTACTAACAGTGAACATGTTTCTTCTTGGACAGTAAAAAATATAGAAAATAACCTTGCAAATAACCAATCCGTAAAGATCATCATGTTTAATTGAATATTATTAAATAGTGAAATGTCATGAGGAAATACTAACTTCGAAGTAGTCAGTGAAGAACATAAAGACAGCTGGCTCTCCCTATAACATTTAGTAAGTAAATGATCTGTTACTAATTGTTTATATTTGAAAAATTATTCTAATCAAAGGTCTTTGGCTGCAAATGAATAAATTAAACACAGTGAGGGACATTTTAGTTTGTGCAGAAAATAGAAGCCTTAATCAAATGTTAAAGCTTTGGAAAAATAATAACTTGCTAATTTTTCTAGAGTTCTTTTAAGCCAAGTTCATGACAAAACTGAAATTGCTAAATTGATAAAAATCTCAGCAGAGGGCAGAAAATGCTTCAACAAAGTTATGAAGGTCAGTTCCTGTTTGCAAAGATATAGATAGA